AATATTTTTACCCACCCCTACTTCCAACCCTGTCTGTTGGGACTAAACTAACAGCAATTTAACTTTGAATTTTTTTATATTATGCAAAGACATTATCTCCTTTATCTTAGTGATAAATATTATTCCTACATATATATATGGATAGATGAATGGGAAGGGAGGGAAGAAGTAAAGGAGGATTTATTATAATGTATTTATTATTATTTGTGGTTTATATGGTATAACGAATGTGGATGCTGAGTAAGGCAAACCAATAAAAATTTGGCCCAAAAAAAAAATGAATCAATAACACCAGTCTGTGCAAGTAGATTTTTATAGTCGTGCAGTGAAAAGAAGAACATGTTGATTATAGTTTGTGGAGTGGCTCTGTATGTTCTCAGGGTGAAAACCGGTTTTACCGGAAACTGTTTACTGCCAGTCTTCTGAAATGCTGTCACACACACACACACACACACACCCACACATATCCTTGTGTTATTATATTCATGAGGACCCGTCATTGACATAAGGCATCCCCTTGCCCCTTACTCTTATCTTAACCATCACAATTAAGTCCCAAACTTAATACTGCCCCCAACCATAAAACCGAGTCTTAAACCCTCAAACAACCCTCAGCATTTTGGTCCCCACAAAGTTGTCAAACACCATTAGTACAGTAGGCTCCCGGGTTTTGGACCCCACAAGTATAGTAAAACAGCCCTGCAGAGTGACTCACCCTGCACTTCATGCTAATGTTGACAGCCATGTGGTTTCTCTTAAACAACATGAGAGTGAATTAGCAAAAACAGATAAATGCCATTCATTAGTCACTGATATTACCTGTGTGTGAGTGCACAATAAAAACTGACATGATTTATAAAAATAAATAAAGATATGTGTTTTTTGCAAATGTACCTTTCATATAGAATCCATTAGACGTTGTAACCCTCCTGCTAACACATAAATTAACCCCCCTCTAAAGCATCTATAAAGAGTATATGAACACTTAAAACGTGTGCTTATATCTGCTTACAACTAACAATTTATTACCAGTAAGTATGTATTGGAATGTTTGTCAACATTCATACTATCTTCTATTAACATAACATATGTAATATATATAAAGGGGCAATACAATCCTTAGCATGCAGTTTTCTAATTGCCAGAAGGTGATTAGAGATCCTATCATGTTGCTGAAAGTTATTTTCAGTTATTTTCCCTGTTTGTACCAGTTGAGATAGCCTTAAAGGGCCAATACATTACATTTTTATTTTATTTTATTACACCTCCAACCTCATCGCTGAAAAATATTTTCTGCCCCAATATCACTTGATTTCATTTATGTGTTATGTTTTAAAGATTGTAGGTCGCCCGGTCTTTTGAACCAATTAAAGTAGCTTCAATAATAGGTTTACTCTTGATTCAATTCTTACAGTGTGTTATAAAGAACTTATAAACAGTTTATACACGTTACACATTAATGGCCATCAGTGTGTGCATGGCAAACTGTAAAGCGTTTTGTTCAGTAAGGGAGAGAAGCTCTATATAAATGCAGTCCATTTACCTTTTTAACATTCATACTGAACATAACAGCAAAACGACAGCGACCATTTGTTTTCC